CCCTTTGCCAGGCCATTCTGCCCAAGAACCAGCCAACTCTGAACCGAAACTTGTGTGAACTGTGAGCTAAATGAATCTTTCCTTCCCTGACCTTAAGTGCCTAGCACTTTGTCTCAGGGCAGTGCTCTTTAAGACAGTCCCCATGGTTGAACCCTAATGACATCATCAGTTACGAACTGGAAAGGGCACCGCTGTCCACCCCTTTCAAGTTATTTCCAGCTCGCTCTCTCCGGTGCTGGCCCAGGCCCGGCTCGCACAGAGGCCCGTGTGCACAGAGGCCTGGCTGAAGCTGCTTGGCTGTGCTCTGTCTTCAAGGTGGATGGGAATCTTGGAAATCACAACTCAGCAGAACATCTGCCCTTCTCCCCAGAGGACTAAAGCAAAGAAACTGGCGGACCAGTTGTCATCAGGTGCTGAATTCCCTTTCACATAGGAAAGCCAGTTGTCTGTTTCCCAGTGTTTGCTGTATATGTTTAGGTGCTGAATGTTGGCTGTATGTGTGTGAGTATTACAGCTTCCCAGTGAGCTCACGCTTTTTCACTACATAATGATCTTCTTCTCCTAGGACCGTTTTTTGACTTCAAGTCTGTTTGGCTTATGCAAGTGTATCCACTCCTGTTTTCTTTCCTAACCCTAAGTAAGAATTGTTAGATTAGGTTCTGAGTTTTCCTTTTTGCTTGTCCCCAGGCCATAATAAGGCTGGCTTGACTGCAACCAGGAGTCTACGCCTGCTTATTGTGGTGGCCTCCTTTCCTGGAAGATGACCCCTCCAGGGACTGTTGTCACTCTTTGGGAGACAGCAGCAGGATTGTTACCAACAGCAGAGCTGTCCCTGTTCCATACCCACCACAGTCCCAGTGTTTAGATGGAGCCTTGTGAGAGATGTCACTAAAATACTCTCACTCTCAGAGAATTATAACCGTGTCCATGTGACTCTTTAAAATTGGCACTGACATAATTGCATCTAGAGAAAATTGAACATCAATACAAAACACAGGTTGGTAATTTCTATACTTAAATTAAATAGACAAAAACTGGTGCTACTAATTATTTTAAGGAAAAATGTGGCCAGAATCCATCAGTGCCAGCAGTTCTCAGTTATCCATCATTCTGTCCTCCTCCCTCTGTCAGCAAGGGGACCCTTGGGTCACAGAGAGCATCAGGTTCATGTGAGTGGTTCACTAAGGATCCACTAGGGGACTTCAGGGGGTGTGCCAGCACCCGCCTCTTAGCTTTCACCACGACGAGGCCCAGCAGTTGGAGGGGAAGAGTGGCCAGTGGGGCTCACGTCAAGAAGGTGATCTACAGAGACCCAACTCCTAGTCACAGGACACAGTTTCAAGAGGAGAAGGGCATTCCTTGCTCCATGTTGGATGACAGACCTATTCCAATGCCAGGACACAGGCAGCCCTCAGCATTGGCTTGGAAGAGAGGGAGATGCTGGAGCAGGAACTGGAGGAACCCAGGCTGGAGGACCAGGAGACCTAGCACTGCAAATGTTTGTGCAGACTGTGAACCCTGAGTGCAGGCCTAACCTGGAGGGCCCAGCTCCTCCAGGCAGAGGTCTGCATGAGGCAGGCAGGACATGGCCTTGTGGCGTAGCTGGCCGAAAGCAGGCACGGGAAGGGCAGAGAAGGAGCTCCATTGCCAAGTGAGAGTAAGAAGAGCCACAGAGGATGCTCCGGGAGAATGCAATGCTCACACTGACAACCCAGAGGGTTCCTCGGTGACCATGCCAGAGCAGGCCGGCAGTACAGAATATACCAAGAGCGTGCGATGGGCCCTGGCACACCCTAAGTTAGGGCAGTGCTGCAGAGAGGGGGAGGAGGAGGCTCAGTTGAGTGGATGCAAATGTAAGGTGTGAAGAGGGATCAGGAGCCCTGAGACTGCGGACCAGGCTGACAAGGAGCCACTGCCCAGCAAGAGTAGAGAGGAGGACTGAGTCTCGGGGTGTGGCACATGCGGACCCGCGGAGGGAGTCAGCTCAAGGACTGTGTCTGGCACCTGCCATGAGCGCTCCTGCCTTTGGCCTTGGGGAGACACCTGCATGCTGGTGTCTCGAACCCTTTATCCTGAACAGTGGTTATCTACCCCACGGGCGCCTGTCAGCACTCCAATGGGCCCCAGAGTTTATCTTTCTCCGAAAGCTGGGAAGCTAACAAATGCAGACAGTGAGTACAGCCCCGGAGCTGTAACATCCTCAAGAGAGGAAAGCCGTGTGTGCGGGATGTTAATACTCAAACCTTGCTGCTTCCCAAGACACTGAGTGAGGCCCCTTTCCAGCGGAAACCAGAAGTTATCACCAGCAGTTTTCCTGTAGAAGAGATCAGTTGATGAGTCAAGAGGCTCCGGGACTTGGACTAGATGAGCCCTTCCCTCTGAGTGTCTGGGATTGATGCTGACAGCTATGCTCGGTTGCCAAGGCTGCCGTGGCAAAGCCCCACAGACCGGGTGGCTTCAGCAAGTCTGTTTCCCACAGCCTGCCCCTGGAAGTCTGGGACCAAAGTGTTGGAAGTCAGCGTCCCCCGAGGGCTCTCTGCTTGGCTTGTGAAGTCATCTTCTGCTGATGGCTTTTGTGGTCTTCTGCATGTTTCTGTCCTAATCTCCCCTGCTAACGTGCCAGATTTTTGTCACATCCACCATAATAACCTCATTTGGACTCCATTTCTTTGTTAAAGATGCTGATTCAAAATGCACTTGTAGTCTGGGGCTCTGGGACTGGGATTCCAACGCCTGAATCCTGCAGAAGTCTCAGTCCCGCAGCAGAGGTAGCCACAGCAGTGCAGTTTCAAGCGCTGCTTCTTTGTGTGGCTTATCTGGAGGGGGACACACGCCTGCTGGGCCCCAGGCCCCTAGAGCCTCTGTTTCAGAAATCAGGCAGCTCTGCAGCTGCCGAGTGCAGGCCCTGGGGCCGTGCTGCTGTCCGAGCCTTCCACTCCCGACACAGGGAGGCTGAGTGCACACGAGCTGTGTTCCTGTCCCTGCACCCGCAGCCTGCTTTGGGGTCTGCGGGGCACCTGTGGTGGTGAGTTCTCCCCTAGTCTGAAAGCACCGCAGTGCTGTCCCTCGGTGCCCTGGGGGTGCAGTTCCAGGAGCCCCCCCTGTCCATACCAAGAATAACACAGCATAGGATTTGCACAGAACCTTTGCACCCCCACCTCCCTGCATACCTTCAGCCATCCCTGGATGACTCCGAGCACCCAGTGCTGTGTAAATAGTTGAGACACCATAGTGTTTAACTTTGGGAATCCTGACCAAAAAGAAAAAATGCGTACATGTCCAATGCACATGAATTTTTTTACAAATTTTTCTCTCTGTGGTTGGTTGGGTTGTGTGTGTTCAGCGCCTGTGAATATGGAGGGCTGACGGGAGTTGCTAAAAAAGAAAAGTGCATGCTTTGCCCAAGAAAGCTTAATCTAAGACATTTTTTGTTTGTTTGTTTCCACTGGGCTCATCCCTTGTTTCTAGTAAGCATGACCGGATTGTGAATGTTTGGTCATTACTATTGTCCCTGAGAAAGTGCACGTGTCCAGCTGTTCCTAGACATCAGGTGGGAAGCAAGGCCCTTGGTGCTTGGAGAGCGTGGAGCAGACTCTCATATGTCGCGGCATCTTCTGCAGCTGGGCTCTAGATGTGAGGCTTACAGAGGGGTCTCCGGCCTTAGTGCCCTCTTCAGACTTAGGCCTTACTCAGCCTTGGAATTGCCAAAGGTGTCGCCGTACCGACGGACCACACTGCACGGGCCCCTTTGCATTGGCTCTGCAGGACAGCTGTCACTGTGTCAGTGCACAACAGACCCACAGGAAATACACTGTCCCAGCACGCATTGCAGCCTTGACTTTACTGTTTAGCCCTTCTTCTTCAGTAGAAAATAAATGCAGTTCCCTGGTCCGTGGGCATTGTACCAGGGGTTAGCAGGAGAGAACGGGCTCCTGGAGCCTCTGGTGAGCTGCCAAGAACCACAGGGGAGGCCTCGGGTGGTGGGCATTTGGGGGGCATGCAGAGGGCTCTCCGCCAAGGGGATGGGAAGGCAGCTTTACGGACAGCCCCCGTCTTGGTGGCGCTGCCAGGAGATGTCAGCCTCTGCCTTTGCTCCTCTTGTGACCTGCCTCAGGCTCCTCGGGCTGTGTCTGTCCCAGCAACATAGCTCATCGGTGGGCCAAGAGGACGAGCTTGAGCGCCATGGCTTAGACTTGAAATATGCTTCTGAGTCCGCACAGCCATCAAACAGAATCTGTAACCTTTTCTCCTAGATTCGCCACATTTCAAATCAAGTGTATTAATGTTAGTAATTTTATGACTTCTTTTTGTTTTGTTTTGTTTTGTTTTGTTTTGTTTTGTTTTGTTTTGTGTCATACTGGGGATTGAACCCAGGGCCTTTGCATTGCGCTACAGTCCCTGGCCCTGTGTTTAGTTTTATTTTTGAGATAGGGTCTCGTTAGTTGCTAGTTGCCCAGAACTGTGATCCTCTTGCCTCAGTCTCCCAGAATGTTGGGATTTGGGGTATGAACCACCATGCCTGGTTAACTTTATGACTTTTAATAAGAAAAAAGATTTAAAGAAATGTAGTCAAAACTGATACCTTTCCATTTTTCTAAAGGCATATTTGTATTTTTGTGACATACAAGTTAGGAGTATATTACCTATCCAAAACATCAAATATCCCAGAGTCCACCTACCAGGGCTTCCCAGCTCGCTCTGCTGTTCCACAGTCAGTCCTTCAAAAGCTGTGGTCAGTTCCTGGAGTAAAAACAAGCCTGTGTGCAAAATAAACAAACATCCTGTTCTAGAGCTGCTTCCGGATGCTCCATGACTAGTGAGCAGCAGCCTCCTCCTGGCCCCGGTGGAGACCTATGTCCCCGGGACTCCTGAGTCCCCTTCCTTGTGCAGCCCCCAGGCCTCCCAGGCTTCCACTGTGCCAGCGTCTTCCTCCCCAGGGCAGTGTGGGTTGAGACAGGGGTGCCAGGTGCAGTCAAGCAATGTGCGCCCCCTCCCGACAGCATCCACAGCAACGGAGAGAAGGCCGGACTGCACAAGGAGAACCTGCTGCTTCGCGGCTGCACCATCAGGAACACAGAGGCAGTGGTGGGCATCGTCATCTATGCAGGTAGGCGGGGCCCCTTCGGACCTCCAGGCGCTCGCTCTGTGCGTGGAGCTCTTCTTCCTGACCTGCATCTGGTCCCAAGATTAGTTTGTACCCATCATTGGGGCAAATTAGGGGAAAAAAGAACAAGGTCAAGAATTGTAATAACATCTAAGCCAAAGGTTTTCCTCTTATCTTTTTAGCGTGTTTAGCATCTCCATTCATTTCTCCATGGCTATTACATACGCAAGATTAATTTTATAACCTCTTTTGACTGAGTGTGTTGCGCGACTGTGCTTAATGGCAGCACAGTATTTCTCTCTGTGGACCCACATCACTGGACACTGCTCGCCCTCCCGCCCTCCCCTGCAGGACATGAAACCAAGGCTCTGCTGAACAACAGCGGGCCCCGCTACAAGCGCAGTCAGCTTGAGAGGCAGATGAACTGCGACGTGCTCTGGTGTGTCCTTCTCCTCATTTGTATGTCTCTGTTTTCAGCGGTCGGTAAGTCTCCGGGGAGGATCACCAATGAGTGGACACTGCTGAGCAGCCTCCAGGCAAGCCTGGTGGGCTCCCCTAACTCATTGGGACCTGCCCAGTACCCTAAAGTCAAACCCACATCTTTCACTGACTCGGACTCGAGGGCCGTTGGCCCTGGGACAGGAGATGCCTCCATCAGGGGCCTTGGCAGAGTAATGCTGTTTTCAGAATGACAGCTACATAGATAGAGGGTGGATCAGTCCCGAGAGTCCAGTGGAAGGCATAGCTGGTGAAGCAAGGCTTAATGGCTGGAGAAGCACAAATGTAACCAGTGGAAACTTCACACAAATAGAGACTTATTTGGGTCCTCAGAAAGAGCTGGAATGTTCCATGAGGCATGTGGGGAGGTACAGCAAGGCCCCAGCACATGACCTTCACCTTGCCCCTGCTCAGCTCGTCATCCTGCAGTGGGCAGTGTGACACCGTCTCAGAGCTGAGGGGTAAGAGGCATAGGTGCAGTGGACATTTAAAAAGCTCCCTTTTCAGGGAGGATGGGCCCTCTTTCATTCTATAAAGTGCATAGAATCCACTGGCTTCTCGGGTCCATCACACGTGAATTTTGGATCTCCGAGAAGGGGCCTCACTGGGCGGTACCAGGGCTCACCCTGTCTTCAGCAAGCAGTAGTGAGACTGGGCACTGTGAGATGCACACTGGGTTCTCTGTGGGCTTCACACTCTGCCGTGGTGAGTCCTGCCTCGTGACCTGTGTGCCAGTTCACACCAACAGCAGAAAACCCTTAGTGTGCAGAGAACCCCAGCTCAGGCTCCTTCCGGGAGCCTGGTCGTGGGTCCCAAGAGTCCACCGTGCTTCTGCTTTCGTGTGTGGCGAGGAAAGCTAATAAACCAAGTCCTCTGTGGCCAGTCACCACCCGCAAGGTGGTCTTAATCTACACTGGCGCTGTCTTATTTCCCTGTCCAATGAATGGTGTTTCTCTTTGAATGTTCCTTCAGGACACGGCTTGTGGGTACGGCGCTACCAAGAAAAGAAAGCACTATTTGACGTCCCCGAGGCTGATGGCAGCTCCTTGTCCCCAGTCACAGCTGCAGTGTACTCATTTTTGACAATGATAATAGTTCTGCAGGTAACAGTTTTAACTGCCATGTGAAAAGTGCTTGGCTTTTCTCAAGAGAACGTAAAACTCATCACCCTCTGCTAAGAATTTCTGCATCTGAGAGGACCACAGATATATCTGCCTGCCGCGCTGACCTTCTGCCTTCCTTTAGCTATAGGGCTTTTCCCTGGGGATTATCCAATTAAATTCTCCTTTGCTTTTCTGGAGGCTCTTCGTGTGTGTAGGGTTACTGTTGGTTATCACTGCATTTTTCTGTTTTCCCTGTTACTTATCTTCGTGTGTGTGCAGTGCTGGGGATCGAACCCAGCCTCTCACCTGGTCGGCAGGCATTTCAGCACGAAGCTACATTCCTAGCTTCAGTGACTTTAAAAAGTTTTTTTAAAAAATCTCTTGTTTCAAAATAATTTTATGACTTTCTGAAAAGCTCTGAAGACTGAGAGAGAGCTCACACGCATCTGTGCCCTGTTTTCCCTACTGTGGGCATGTGATGTGGTCACGGTCTGTTGTAAGAACTAAGAAGCCAAGTTGGGTGACTTGCTGTCAGCTTATCCAAATTGCTGCATTCAGAGCTGAGTTGCCTTCACACTCAGTGCTTTCTCTGTCCTGGGGCTCGATATCAGGATCCCGAGGTGGCTGTCAGCATTGGTGATTCCCCTGAGCGTTGTTCCTGCTAATATGACTCATCCCTTGTGTCCCTTGTAACTCGAGGTCACTAGCCTATAATCTGTGCCTAGAAAGGTCTGTGAAGGAGTCGTATGGTTCCCGAGCTCCAAAGACCAAGGAGGGGCTGTGAGGGTCGCACCAGTCTTCCTAAGAAGCGGTGTCCAGAGCACGTGTGCGGGGCTTCGCCTGGCAGAGGAGTTCTGCGTCCCTTGACATCTGTGCTTCTCCGGCAGGAAGCAGCCTTATTTAGCATTCCAAATTAGTCCTTTTTATAAATGCAAATTTTGTTCTAGCCTTGAGTTAGGATAATAGTTGGTGTTCATTAACATAATTAAGATACCAGGAGAACCCAGTTCGTCTGAATATGATATTCTAGGCTCATAAACATTAATTCAGTACTGTGACTTTACAAAATAAACAAACATCAATTTTCCAGAAGTTGGTCTTCAATTCTGAAGACGTCATAGTGAATGTTTTTCTCCAACCCGACTTCCCTTGGCTTTAAAGCATCCTGTGAGGTCACAGAAACGGTCCTTCACCACCAGGCTGGCTCTTCCTCTCTTAGCCATCCCTGATCATAGGGGAGGGTGTCCTCAGGAGAAGGGCCACCGCATCTCTGGGACCCAGGGGACCCTGGGGGTCGCATGCTGCTGTGGTTTGAGGTGGCTTTGCTTACAAGGACTCTGACTGCTGTGTTTTTTCTCTTGTCTCTCTCTCTCCTTTCCTAGCCTCTCTCCTACACAACTTAGTAACACGGAAATGCTCGCTTCCGTCTGAGCCCTGGCCACACTTCCAGACACACGTGTGGGCATCCGCTCCGCAGTCGCTCCATAGGCTCTGCTAGTTTAAACCCTTTGCCATTGCTCTTCCCCTTTTCCAATAGTGACTGTAAACCAACCTGTATAAGCTCTTAAAGGTACAGTACAGCTCCTGCTTCCTCGGTGTAGTCAATTGTCAGTTCGGTAGATTGGACTAATTCTGAGGCTCTCGGGTCTTCACGGCTACTCATTAGCTGCGCTTTGTGTCTCGTAGGTTTTGATCCCAATTTCCTTGTACGTCTCCATTGAGATCGTTAAAGTGTGCCAAGTGTACTTCATTAACCAGGACTTGGACTTGTATGACGAGGAAACAGACTCCCAGCTGCAGTGCCGTGCTCTGAACATCACCGAAGACCTGGGGCAGATTCAGTACATCTTCTCCGACAAAACCGGCACTTTAACTGAGAACAAGATGGTTTTCCGAAGGTGCACTGTATCTGGGGTAGAATATTCTCACGATGCAAATGGTGAGTCTGGGGCTGGGGCTTCCAGTCCGGGCTGGACCAGAGGGTGGTTGCTGTGTCCAAAGCTACATGTAGGGACACACACACACACACACACACACACACACACACACACTTTGAAGATGGCTGCTTTTAAAGGGAGCATAAATATGGGGTGGGACTGTCAACACCTCAGGAGTCTAAAGCCGGCCACTATGACAGACCAGGTCGACATCGCCTGGCTTTGCTGCAGTGCCTGGCACGATTGGCATCTGCGTGCGCACTTGTCCTCTGCCAGCTGAATGCAGCAGCCTGGCAGGGAAGGCAGCCTGGAGGACCTCACTGCCGAGCCGCACAGTCCCTCCATGCTCCGTGCTGAGGAGCAGAGCAGAGTGTCACCCATCAGCCCTTCTGATCAGCTGAGAGCTCTCAGAACGGCCCCCCCAGCAGATGCTCAGTCTTATCCCGGAACACAGTGTCTGCGGTGGCTGCAGAGATGAATCACCTAAGTTCTGATTGTGTGGGTGGCCCCTCCGCCCTCTCCTCCTCTGCTCACCCTCTGCTGCCACTTCCTCTCCGAGGGCAGGGTCAGGGGAGCTGCCGCTTAGCAAGCCAGGGATGAGTGGAGCCAGCCGCCCTCACCTCAGCCATCAGAGGGCACTGTGGAAAGGGAACCCACACAGCACTCTTGGTTTGGGGTCCTCTCACCTCCAAATGAGGCCACCAGGACAGCATAACAGCAACAAAGATCACCGGACCTCCCTCCCCTCTCTCTGCCACCCATCCTGCCTCTTCCACCCAATTTCCAATAGGCAAGAATAGCTTTTGCAACCTTCTGCACAGTATTGAGTACGTGTGTTCAGTAATAATGTGTGTGTGTGTGTGAACAATTTAGTAAACTTCAGGCGTCTCATCATGAACCCTGACAGATCAGCCAGGCAGTGGATGTGTTCACTGCTGAATGGATGTGTTCATTCCATCATACCACATTATGAACATACATGGAAACATCACCTCCTATCCTGAAAATGCACAGAGCCATGATTAGTCATTCCAAAATAACATTATTAATACACATTTTAAAACAGTAACAAAGTTGGGACCTGCCGCTCCATGGGAATCACAGATAGTTGTCAAAAGCCTGTTGTGAAACCAGAGGGTTCTGTCACCTGCCTGAGACACAGCAGAGGGTTTCCGGTGAGGGAGGAAGCAGCCAAGCATCCCACACCATGTTGTGCACAAGCGCCCAGGGCAGCTGGTGACAGCAAGTGGCCGGGCAGAGCCAATGCTCAGCCAGCTACTCTGTGACCTATGCCCTGACTGCTTGCTGGCAAGCAAGTTCGCCCTTTTGCTATTCACACAGCAGAACCAGCCTCAGAGACCATGGGGTCCCCTTCTCTGTCCTTGTGACCTGATGGCCTAGACAACTGACTGTATGCACCCAGGGCAAGGTGTCCCCTAAACCTCAGCCTCATCCTCCCTACGGGCCTCGAAAGCAACCCCGAGTCCACTTGGGTCAGATGTTCCTGGCCACACCAGACATCAGCAGTGGCCATGGCCTGGCCCCACAGCCTCAGCGTGGCCCGAGCGGTGGCTGCGTTGTGCTCTGACACCTAGAGGCCACTGTCTGGGGAGGTGGCCAGGCTCCTGACCTGCAAGTTGAGGAAGTGAAGGCCTCCTTCTCCCCTCCTGCTGGCTTCCTCCTGAGGCCCCTGTCACCTGGGATGTTCAGGGCAGGTGCTGCTCCTGGAATCTTGAGGGTGAGGAGTTCTCAGCCTATGGCAGTGAGCAGGTGACATCCAGTCCTTATTCCTGCTTTTCTCAGCTCCAAAGGAAGGTCTGATATGACGTGAGGTGCTCTGTACCCACCCGGCGTTCCGTTGCACTCGAAAGTCTGATTAAATGCTTGTTCTGCTGCATGGTCCTCACGCCAGCCCTAACTGGATGCCGAGGGGAACCTGTCAAGCGCCTTCAGGGGGCAGCAGGCAGCACAGGCATAGTTTAAACCGCCTCCCCAGGGCTTGCTCCCAGGCTGTGGAACTGGGACTAGCAGCACCCCCTAAGGGCTCAAGCGTAGGATCGCAGTCAAGATCCTCGCCAAAATTTCACTGGCTGGGCCCACACCTGGCCGCGGGAAACTGCTGCCCTTACAGGAGCACAGGCCTCACTGTCCCACAGTGCTGAGCAGGACAAGGGCGCATGCTGATGGTGCCCTGCCCGTGGCCCCCAGCAGAGGCCCTGGCCCAGCTAACACCCTCGCCCCAGCCGGAGGCCCTGCGTAAACACCGTAGCAATGCAGACCTGTGACACCTCACCTGCCTCAAGCTGCCCCACAAACCCTGATGTGATGGGCAGCAGGGCCCACTGTGTGGAGCGGGCTTTGGCACCCCTGGCCCCTCCCTCATCCTGCTGTCCCTGCATCTGTGACCTCACCAGGCCCCTGAGTTCCCTGAGATGAGACTTCTCCTCTGTGAAGTACAGTGGGACACATCGCCTTCCTCAGGATGATGAGACTGTGGATAAAGGAGAATGTCCTTCATCCCTCTGCCCATGGACATCCTCATTAAATGTGTCCTTGGTGTTAGAAAGCGCCCCGAGGGATCCCTGCCCCAGAGCCTCGTGTAATCAAAATGCCCTGAGAGCAGGGCAGAACGGGGGATGCACACCTGTGACCCCCCCACTTTGAGAGGCTGAGGCAGGAAGATCACGCATAAGAGCTCAGCCCAGGCAACTGAGCAAGACCCTGTATACACAATTTTTAAAGTAGGTGGGGTGTATCTCAATGCAAAGGCTCTGGGTTCAATCCTAGTTCATAAAAAATATATATATCACTATATCTGCCCAGTGGGCCCAGCCTACACCCACGCAGTCTAACTCTGCCCCGTCCCTGCAGCCCAGCGCCTGGCCAGGTACCAGGAAGCAGACTCGGAGGAGGAGGAAGTGGTGCCCAAGCGGGGATCATGGTCTCAGCGCGGCAGCATCGGGAGCCACCAGGGCGTTCGAATGATGCACAGGACACAGAGCACCAAGTCCCACCGGCGTACAGGGAGCCGGGCAGAGGCTAAGCGGGCCAGCATGCTGTCCAGACACACGGCCTTCAGCAGCCCCATGGTGAGTGTGCGCCCAGGCAGGCACACTGCCCATGCCTTCCCACCGTCGCTTCCTTTGATTGGCAGGAGCATCTGCCTTCAGCCGGCAGGCGAGCTTCTGCTGGAGAGCTTTGTGGCCAGCACCTTCCCGCAATGGTCGTTCGCCACTGTGTTGCCAGATGAGCTGCCCAGAAAGGGTGTCGGCGAGGACACGCGTCCTGCCAAGTGATGCAATTAAAACATCAGGACAAGGTGACAGCTTGACAATTCGAAGCCAATCCCCTGCCCTGACAGAAAGTGTTAGAGGAGCCCAAGCCGATTACATAGCGTTCTCCTCGCCATGCTTGCCGTGGATGGGCCTCCGTCTCTAGGAAGTGTCCAATGTGAGAGGCAAACTCGGAAGATGCTTCCGTTTCTGAAATCTCTGAAGAACAAGGAAGAAAGTCCCCTGGGCCCACTCTGGGTGGCCTCCTCGCCCCTCTGGGTCCTCCTGGATCATCCGGGAGCTGCTGTTTCCAGGGGTGATCAGGAATAACGGATACCAGGGCAGGTGGAGAGGAGGCCGGGGCGCAGGGGCAGGCGGTGCTGGAGGCTGCATTCCCTGCAGCACCTCAGTAGGAGTCGCCCTTTCTGCCCTGGTAATTCAGGGATTCGGTCAGTGATTGCTCTGCAGTGGGTTATTCACATCAGCAAGGTGGTGAAACAGATCTTGGTATTCAGTAATAAGGAGATGATCAGACAAGTTATGATATGTCCATCCGAATTTTTAAATCCATGGAAAAGTTCAGAAATATGTTTGGGGGAAATGGAAATTGCCAGTGTACATATGAAATATGTTTACTATGTAAAATTTAAATACAGACCCAAAAACATTGCGAGGAAATGCAGAACCATGATTCTCAGAAGATGTTGAGCTGGAGATGGTGGTGGTAATTCCAGTACTCAGGTGACTGAGGCAGGAGGATTGCTGCAAGTTCAAGGCCAGCCTAGCCTACATAGTGAGTTCAAGGCCAGTCAAAACACTTGTCTCAAAAAAATACAGCAAGAACAAAAGTAGATGCTTTGTGGAGTGATGTGATACAGACCTGTTGCATTTTTTAAGACTGATACATTTTTATAACAGTATTCTTAGATACTTTATAAGAAATGTATTTTATAGGGGCTGGGGATTTAGCTCAGCAGCATAAGCACCTGCCTTGCAAGCAGGCGGTCATGAGTTCGATCCCTGGTACCAATAAAAAGTGAAAAAGACAAAAAAAAAATGTGTCTGAATATATTCTTTCTTTCCATCTGTGGTAACATCTCCTGCAGTTTAAAATTGTGGCCAGGGTGCTGTTAGGAAGCCCTGTGTGCACTGCTGAGCTGCTCCACCTTGGCAGGAGGCTGGGGCAGCCTCACCAGCAAGCGCGCGTTTTTCTCCCAGGAGAAGGACATCACACCCGACCCAAAGCTGCTGGAGAAGGTCAGCGAGTGTGACAAGGGCCTGGCCATCTCGAGGCACCAGGAGCAGCCCCTGGCCCACCTCTCGCCCGAGCTGTCGGACATCTTCGATTTCTTCATTGCACTAACCATCTGCAACACCGTGGTGGTCACATCCCCAGATCAGCCACGACAAAAGGCAAGTCGCGGATAGCGGTCCCTGATAGTGGTGACCCCTGGGGCCCCGACATCCTGCTAAGAGTGCTCAGGCTCCATTTCCTGCAGGGAGCCACTCAGAGGCCTCTCAGGTGTGAGCGGACTGCAGTGGGATGCACAGTTGGCAGAGTGATGGTCCCCAGGCTGTGGAGGGAGCGCACCTGGGCGAGGCCAATGGGGAGAGGACAGACTGCCTGGGACACCATCTGAACTTGGGACAGGAGGGCCAGACAGTGGCTGGTCAGGGTCTGGTCAGGACGGGCAGTGAGTTCAGAAGGCCCTGCCTGCCTTCATAGCTCCTCCCCAGAGGCTCACAGGAGAGGGCAAGATGGGCTGGGTGCAGAACATGGACAGGATGCTGGGACACGGATGCTGCAAAGCTGGACATGTGCCCCAGACCTGACCCACCCTTCCCAGACTGGTGGGTCAGCCTTCCCACCCTGTCCACTGACACCACTGGCGGATGATGTGGGATGAATGAGGGGGTCCCTGCTGTCTCTCTGACAGTGGTCACACCAGCCTCTGGTGGACCCCAGGTGGACAGGTCTGGATACGCAGAGGCCACAGGCTTGCACAGGGGCTGCCTTAATGTCCCACATCTGGTCTGCAGTGCCTTCCTCTAACTTGCCCTAAGAGAATGTGAAAACTGGTCTTCCAAGTGGCATTTTAATAGAGGGTAAAAGGCACCCGGTTCTATGCAAAGCCAAGATGCCCACTTCTCTGGGCTTCTTAGGCACAGTGAGGAGCCCTGCAATGCCCTCCCTCCCTGTCTTCTCACCGTCCTGCAGCAGGTGAGGGTAAGGTTTGAGCTGAAGTCCCCCGTGAAGACGATAGAAGACTTCCTGAGGCGGTTCACGCCCAGCCGTCTGACCTCCGTCTGCAGCAGCACAGGCAGCCTGGCCACCAACAAGTCCAACCACAAATCGGGATCCAGCCTGCTGTCCAACCTTTCCAACGACAGTGTGTTTCTCAAGCTGGAGGAGCGGCTGGGCCAGCCTGCCCCATCCTTAGCCAGCAATGGCTACAGCAGCCAGGCTGAGAGCTGGGCCTCAGAGCGAAAGCCAGAGCCAGGCCAGGAGCAGGAGCTGCGCTACGAGGCTGAGAGTCCAGACGAGGCAGCGCTGGTCTACGCCGCCAGGGCCTACAACTGTGCGCTGGTGGACCGGCTGCCAGACCAGGTCTCCGTGGAGCTGCCCCACCTGGGCAGGCTCACCTTCGAGCTCCTGCACACACTGGGCTTTGACTCCATCCGCAAGAGGATGTCGGTGGTGATCCGGCACCCACTCACTGACGAGATCAACGTCTACACCAAGGGCGCCGACTCGGTGGTCATGGACCTGCTGCTGCCCTGTTCCTCAGGTACCGCTCCCCGCCGCCTGGCCCTGAAATCTCCCACCCAGCCCTGCAGGTCCAGTGAGATTTGTCTGTTCTTTGTCTAAGTGCTGCACATCAGAGAAGCCCTGGTCTGCTGGGTCACGATGGGAAGGTTTTGGGCCCCAGTGCTCCTGGCCTAGCCCTTGCACCCAACCTGTCTCCCTGGCACTGAGACGAAATTCCTTGGGGGAGTGTCAGGTTTTCCATCCTATGGATAGTGATGGGGAACGCAAGCCAGAAGTTCTGGAAGGCTCCTTCCTGCCTTCTGGCCATGGGGAAGCTTTGAGGTCCAGGCTGCAGTTTTCAGCTATTGCTCGGACCTAGCGGGCAGCAGGTGGTTTCCCATCCTGACTTTATGCTAAGAAGCTCCACACTGGGCTGTTTGTTACTTCTGAACTAAAATGGGGTTGAGAATTCCTGGTGCCCAAGGTGGAACTTCAGGCCGCAAAGGAGCTGGTGATGCTCCCGAACCAGGGCAGAAGACTGGTCTGAGCGGGACTATGGGGTGAGTCTTACCCCTGGGATCAGGAACTGGGTGCAGGCGAGTCGCTGCTGGCGCTGGAGAGGCTCTGGAGGGCTGACGCTGCAGCTTTGCTGTTTGCTACCCCTAGAAAGGAAGCAGCCCTGGGTTTCACCTCTCTAAACCCTGCACTGGACAGGCCACTGTCCTCTCCATCAGCTCAGTGCTGCAGAGCAGGACCTGTGGCCCCAAAGCCTAATCTGGCACCATTCCCCCAAGGGGACTACGGCAGGTGCCCCCCCCCCCAAGCTCCAACAGTGGTTGTGTTGTTTTGTTTTGTTTTGTTGAGACAGGGTCTCACTATGCAGTTCAGGCTGGCCTTGAGCTCACTTTGTAGCCCAGGCTGGCCTGGAACTCACATTGATCCTCCTGCCTCAGCTTCCCAAGTGCTGAGGTTACACCACCACACTCGGCTTTGCTGGTGTGTTTTTTAAAATGAATGGAAAACCTTAAATGTAAACCACAAACTGTTAGCCCTGAGTCTGGAAGCCGCCTCCTGTGTTGGTCAGCTTTTCGGTCCTCTAGCCAGATGCTGCTGTAGACCTGCAGAGAGTTGTTTTATTTTGGCTCATGGTTCCATAACGGGGTACCTCAGCATTTCCTCCTCCCAGGGTCCTCAGGGTAGCCCACAAACACACAGCTTTAAATTCAGTAAACTTAGCCTCAGAAATGCCTGTTACCCGCCTCTGCAGATAGCCTAATATACCAGGGTAGTAAAAGCAGGTAGAGGGTGCAGGAGAGGAAAGTGTTTATCCCCCTCCAGCTTGTCCTGGGTGCGCCTGGAACAGAATTGGCTTCCCTTAAGCAAGGGGCTCAGGACCCGAGGTCACCGATTCGGCAAGACAAAATAAAATACTCAATGAAGTTTGAAATTCAAATGGATTTTCTTTTTAGCTTAAGTTGCCCGGTACAGTATCTGGCAATGTTTTGTCTGTCGACACTGCCAATGCATAAGTAGGGAGAGACACTGCGCTATCACACATGATTTTTCACGAACCGAAGAGCGCGCCCGTTTAACAGGACAGACCCAGGAAAGGCGCGTGGTTTGTGATGAGGGTTTCACCTCTGGCGCTTCTCATTTCCGCAAAGAATCTCGGCAACAGCCAAAAATACATGTTTAGATGAAGTTTTTTTAAACCACTGATCTTTACCCCGCGCGCAGCGTGACGCAGAGCACTGCGTGGATCCGACACGCAGACGCCGGTTCTCACGCGCCGCCTTTCTGCTTCTCCTCCACCCCAGAGGACGCCAGAGGGCGGCATCAGAAGAGGATCCGCAGCAAGACGCAGAGCTTCCTCAACCTGTACGCCGTGGAGGGCCTGCGCACGCTGTGCATCGCCAAGAGGGTGCGTGCGCGTGTGGACGGCCGGGCGCGCAGGGCTGCTCCTCGCGCGTGGCCTCACGGGGGTGTCGCACACAGGTTCTGAGCAAAGAGGAGTACGCCTGCTGGTTGCAAGGTCACTTGGAAGCGGAGTCCTCCCTGGACAACCGCGAGGAGCTCCTCTTCCAGTCCGCCCTTCGCCTGGAGACCAACCTGCACTTGCTGGGTAACCTCATGCGAGCGCCTCTGCACGGAGCCACGTCGGTGGCTGCTCGGTGGCCCGCGGGTGCAGTTCCATAAGGAGCTCCATGTCCCCCAGGCTGGAAGGGCCTCAGCTGAGCCTTCTCTCCAGCCACTCCTCTGTGTGCTTGTGTGCCAGACCGAAGGGTGGTGGCCCGACGCCTCCCCGGAAGTCAGCCTCCACCAGAAATAGACAGGAGGAGCAACTCTGCGACGACCCCGAGGATTTCTCCCCACGCGGGCAAACCAGGGGAACTGGTTGTGCCCCAGAAACTGCTGCACTTTGCATCTTACAATTCAGTTGGAATGAAAGAAATGGGCTCATTTGGCTAACGTGTTTATAGCTCCTACTGTGCCCTGTGTACATTTAATTGATACTAATTAATTTTAGTGATATATTACGATATTTATACTTAGTTTTCCCACCATGCTGGGCATTGAACCTGAGCTGCATCCCAAAACCTTTTCCTATTTTTCATTTTGAGACCACCTCTCAGTAAGTTAGTTGTTCAGCCTCTGGTTGAGCTTGCAGGCTTCCTGCCTCAGTTTCCCATAGTGCTGGACAGAGGAGCAGGGAAGTCTACGTATCTGTGATTTCTGGTTAATAGAAACTCAGTTTGACAGTTTGATGTTCTGATATAATGAGTACTTCCTGTACTTCGCTAGTCTGATGGGAGGCCTGGGATCCAGGAGCCCAGTAGTGTAAGAAGCAGCATCCCTAGAGGTGAATGCTGTCCCCCTAAAGTGGCTGTGCTCATTTTAAGGAACTGGGCTGTGACTTCCTGGGCCAGCTCTGTGCTCTCCCAGCCCGAGCCCACTGGCCAGGCGGTGCACACAGCATGTGTCTGTGCTCCTGCTGCTGGAGAGGCTGACAGAGCATGGCTGGAGCTCAGGAATGTAGCAAGGCCTCGACTCCAAGGACCAAGCACCCCTTGGTGCTGGCCTGAGGTCAGGATGGCGGGGTCCTGCTGGCTCTGCGTTACTCACGCTCTCACCCTGGACAGCTGCTTTCTTCTCATTTCTCAGAGGCAAATGTGTCTTGGGTCCTTCTCCCAATGGGTGCGAGTCCTCCTCCCTAGAACAGTGTGGACGGGCTTTGTCCTCTGCTCCTTTTGACCACCTTCACTGTGATTTTGAAGCTGTCTGTAAAGTTTTAAGTTAAGCTTGCATTGGGAAAAATGAAGTGCATGCAGTGACCACCATGGTCCCCCAGGCACGCCTGCCTGAGTTGCCCCCAGAGAGCTTGCACAGGCGTCCACCACCACCCCTTAATGCTGACCACAGAGTGTGCTCCCAGAGGGACTTCCTGTCAGTGTGTGCAGACAGGACTGGTGGCCAAGCTTCACACAGGCCCCAGGCAGCAGGGGCTGTGCCGCCCATAAAAGTCTTGGAGTTTGAGGGGTGTGGTGCTGGCCCCCTTTCGGGCGTTGGAGGGCCTGTGAGGAGGGGTCTCATGCACACCATCGCACATACCTTTGCACAGGTGCCACTGGGATTGAAGACCGCTTGCAGGATGGAGTCCCCGAAACCATCTCTAAACTGCGACAGGCAGGCCTGCAGATCTGGGTTCTCACCGGTGACAAGCAAGAGACAGCCATTAACATCGCCCACGCCTGCAAACTGCTGGACCATGACGAGGAGATCATCACCCTGAACGCCGAGTCTCAGGTAGGTGGGTTTTGGGGAGGCTTTCACAGACCCTCGTGTCTTCACGGTCTGCTCGTATTTATCCCCCGAAATCCCCGGCGCGTTGAGGGATCTCACTGCACGTGCTTGCTCAGCCTAGGCTGCGATTCCCTGCATCACTCCATGCAAATGCTTCCGTGTGTGGTCTCACGCTCAGAATGGAGGGGGAGCTTTCTCCCAAGGCCTGCTCTGCCCCTCCCTGAGCTTCCCTGGACAGTCAAGGCAGCCAGAGACCTGGGCTTACCCTCAGCCGGGCCCACCTGTCCTTGGTGCCACACAAGAAGCCTGACTGTCCAGACCTCAGGACGCTGCCGTGGGGGCTGCTGCTTCTCATATTTCTTTATCTTTCATGCCTGCAGGCTCTGGGGAACCCACCTTGGATCGTGATATCAGCCACGTGGGTTTTTTCTTTGGGTCAGTTTAGAAGCAGTCTGTCAATTATATTGATCTTTTCCAGAAACAAAGTCTGGGTTTCACTGATTTTTTTTCCACCTTCCATTGTTTTTCTGTTTTATTTCTATCTGCCCTTACCTTCATTATTTCCTTTTTGTTTGTTTGTTTTTTTCTTTATTTCTAAAAATGGGATCTTGGATCACTGACTCACGGTTTATATTTCCGATATAAATAATATATGCCATGCTGTCTGCACCTTACAGCTTTGAAGTGTTACATTTTCAGCGTTTTTGTTCATATGCAAGGGCTGAGCCAAATATACAGTGAATATTTAAATTTTTAAAATGTGAAGTAAAAGCCACAGTGCCACAAATTCCCTTCCAAATACTCCCCATCTTCAAACACCCTTCTCCTGCCATGCCGGTCATTTCTGAGGCAGCCTGACAGTCCTCCTTTGTGAGTGTCTTAGCCAGGTGAGATCAAATTACACAAAATACTGCTGCCAAACGCCATCAACGGAAAGGCCGATTCATAGAAAACAACGGTGTGTCCTCATCTGCTGGATCTGGGTGGGTTTCGCTCTTCCCCGAAGTCCGGGTGACCACAAAAGGGCAACATTTTGAATCTAATCAGGCCTAAGGCAGCCACGAGCATGAAAATAAAGTCATGACTCTAGGGAAGCAGTCATGATGCCAGTGGGCTCACTGGCCTCAGAGGACCAAGGGCCGTCAGTCCTCCTGCAGGGTTTGTTTGTCCCTCGTGGGCCTCTGGCTCCTGCCCCTGATCTCGAGTTCAGGTTGCTCAGTAGTTTCTCCTCTCCCTGGAATTCACTTCCAGTTTTGGAGGCTGTGGCCAAATAAGTGCCTTGCTAAATGTGCTTTTTTTCTTCTTTCTCTGGTAGAGGTAGAGATTTTAGGGCGCTCGCTCATGATTAGATTTCCTTAGGAGCAGATTCCAACAAAGACTTTGAAAATGCTTCACGCTCCACAGTGGTAGGTAAATAGGAAAGACAGAGGGTTGGGTCAGGGCCTCCAGCCCTCTGAAAAGCAGACAGGTGAGTAGCAAGGCTCCTTCAGGCCAGCGAACTACAGCGCAGCAGTGGTGACACAGCCGGCTCCCCAGGCCAGCAGGACCCCTCCAGCTGGGCCCTGGGTCACAGGTGATCAGCGGCATCATAGAGAAACCCAGCCTGCTTCGTCTTCGCTGGCTGGGCCTGTGGTAGAGGCTGATGCTCTGGGCAGCAGATGTTCCCACCTGTGGCACCCGAGGAGAAATCAGCTCAGAGGTGCCGGGCAGGCACCTGGCTGTGTGGAGCAACCTGGCTAAACTTCTCTCTGCCCCTCCTAGGAAGCATGTGCAGCCCTGCTTGAACAGTGCCTGCAGTATGTACAGTCCAGGGGGCCCCACAGCACCCCCAAGAAGACCGAAGGCAACGTCAGTGTGGGCTTCTTCCCTCTGTGCTCGGCCCCGCCCCAGTCCACTGCCCGGGGCCCCAGCCTGAGCCTAGTGATCGATGGGAGGAGCCTGGCCTACGCCCTGGAAAAGAACCTGGAGGACAAGTTCCTCTTCCTGGCCAAGCAGTGCCGCTCTGTCCTCTGCTGTCGCTCGACCCCGCTGCAGAAGAGCATGGTGGTGAAGCTGGTGCGGAGCAAGCTCAAAGCCATGACCCTGGCCATAGGTGAGCACACCTGTGCCTGCAGCCGTCCACTTAGCTGCCGCGTCCAGCGCAGCCTGGCGTTCTGATACTCTCCTGTGCAGCGGCGTACATGGGGAAAGCCTTTCTAACTTTCTCCCGTGTATAGAATCACACCCAGTGAGTAACATGGGCAGCATGTTCCACATAGGAAACCTGCTTTGGAAAACCATGAAAACAGTGGTAGGTAGAGCAACGTGCTCTGAGGCCAGCAGTGCGCTGCTAACTGAGAAAGGCAGGTGGTGTTTACACTGTTTCCTGGGAAACAGGACAGTAGAGACCTGCTCAACTAAGGAAGTCCGGCCACAGCGAAGGACTGATATTCTGGGCATTAGCCTGGCCCAATTTAGAAAAAAGGCCTCCCCATGGAGAAGTTCCTGGGGTTGGCGTCCTGAGTGTCACAAGGATTCAGAGTCGGCAGGGTCCAGAATCCCCCGTTCCTGGCATCAGCTCAGCATTGCTGATCATCCCGAAGCAAGCATCTCCTTAGGTAAACTGTCCTGGGGTATGAACAGATGCATGGTCTTTGGTCATTTTCCTGGCACCTGTGTGTCTAGCGGTGTGAATTCTTGCCTGCCCTCTTGGCCTGGAGAGCCTTCTGGCCTCCTCAGCAGTGACCTGGAGGACATTTGACTTCTGAGGCAGCGTCTCCACCCGCTGCTGCATCAGGTGGAGTTTCTAGTACATGTTCAGGGACTCCCCAGTCCACCCTCCTGATGATGTTCAGGATGGGAGGGAGTGCCGTGCTGCCAGCTGTAAACTGGATCTCCACCTGGCTGAAAGTTGGCCCTAAGATAATGTGTCCACCCCAGGGGTCGTCACTCACTAGTGATCAGAATATGTGCCACAGGTCTGTGGCAGCTGCTCCTTCCTGAGATGGGCATCATTGCCTAGTCATCACGGGCACCTCACGAGGTGGAGAGGCTAGGACTGAGCCTGAATATGCGGAGATGAGAAGAGAGATCCCGGCCTGGGCGCCTTCCTAAGCCCCATGTCTCTCAGGAGGAGCACGGAGATGGGTGGGGGGCCCTGATCCTGCAGAGACAGGCTCATCCCGGGAGAGGCTTCCAGGGCCATCTCTGCTTTCCCGTGCCTGGGGTGAGGTTCAGGGTTGCAGGGCATGTGTGACAGTCGGAAGCCAAGGGGTCTGCATTTCGTGTCCACACTGCTCACCCCTCTGCACTCCTGCATCCTCACTGGGAACTTGACGACAAGATCTGTCTTGAAAGGCCAGAGAGATGTGAGCTGTAAACCACATCCTCACAGCCGCATCGGTGCCTGGCTTTGCTGTGTAGCCATCGGTGTGTGGTGTTTAAGGAATGGAAGTAAAACCCTGGCTACTCAAAAACTAAAAAAAAAAAAAAAAAAAAAAAAACCAAAAAACTAGACTCTCAGCAGAGAAACGGATGCGCCTAAGAGTGCTTGGACTGGTTCCTCAGTGCCAGCAGTTTCTACTGCAGAGCGCTTTGCCGTGGGCTGTATCTCATTTGAATGTGACATTCTGGGAAAGCTGGAGAGGTTTTTATTGCTTCCCAGGGTGTCCGTGTGACAAATTGATCACCTGTGTTGGGCTTAATCCAATAAAGAACAGATAAACCCCAGGAAAGAAGCGTCCTGGAGGTCGCGCTGTGAAACACTCTGACTTGGCACGTCTGCGCCGTTTATGCTTTGTCCATCCTGAGTGTACGCTGTGACTGGGGCTGTTCCACTACCCAGATCCAAGAGTGGTCACTATCGCCAAGTGACAGTGACCTCTGTGTCTCCGTTTGCCTTTCCCTGACCCCGTCTTCATAAACATTTGTCACTGGGCACCGTGAGGGCACAGAGAAGCTCTGCTTTGTCACGGGCTCAGAAGGCCCTCCAGTGTGCAGGTGAACGCGCTGGATGGTAGCCAGGGGACAGAAAGCCCTCTGTGGCCACTGGACAGAATGTAACCTCCTCCTCCTAATTTAGAAAATGGCTGGTGTGAGTGTGAATGGGTGTGACCTTGGCTGCCTTCCTGGAGTAGCTGAGCCTCTGTGATCATGGTGGGATTGAGGGTGGCAGCGCCCACTGGGTCAGACACCATGGTGGGGACTCTGCCCATGGAGGAGCCAACTCTGTCTTGGGGGCATGGTTTAAAAGGTGCTCGGCGCCATCCCGCTGTGTGGGGCACCTCCTGGTGTGGCCGGCAGTCTTCTGACCACAGTCCCCCAGCCAGGGTGCCTCTTCCTGCACTTTCCTATGATGCCTTCCCAGAGTCCTGAGGGACCCGATAGTGTCCCCCTGCTGTATCTCCACACCTCCACTCACACGGTGCTCCCTGTCTTGCTGTTTCCAGGTGACGGAGCCAACGATGTCAGCATGATCCAAGTGGCAGATGTGGGCGTGGGCATCTCAGGCCAAGAGGGCATGCAGGTAAAGACGAGTCGGGCTGTCCTGGAGGTCTCAGTGGCCCTCAGTGGTTGGCTTGTGTCCCACCATGCGGTGAAGCTGCCCTGGCCGTACTCGGGCTCCATGTCCCACAGTCAGGGCTTTGCCTTCAATATAACAAATCCTTGCGTTCTGCTTTGTCAAGGGAAGAAGGTAAGGTGAAAGGCACTTCATGTTTGTGAAGCCAAGTGCAGTCGACAAGTCTGCACAGGTACGTGTTTAGGAAACAGCGGCTCAGAGTAGGCAAGGGGACTCAGCGCCTTGCTCCCGGCTCTGTGGCCCATCCCTGGGAAGCACCCCTTCTTTACTGGTCCTGAACACCAGCTGTACTGTGGGAACTGGTGTCACTGTATCATGGAGCATAACCGTTCCAACCTGCAAGGGACAGACCTGCAGCTCGGTCTGTGCTTGTCGGTGTCACCTTGTCAGTGCCTGATGTTCCCGAGCTGGAACCCGTGAGTTAATTAAAACTGTGCTTCTTTGGATGTCATATGGCAGTGATTTCCAACACTGCATCAAGCTTGGCTCACGACACTGTTGATCTTGACTAAGACTTGAGGAACCAATTATTCAACAATTTTCTAAAATTCAGGCTGTCAACCAGGCTGTATATTAGTGAGTCATTTATTCAGTGATATTTAGTAAGCACTTGCTATGTGCTGGGCCTGTGGCTTGCAGATTTTATTACTCGATGGTAAAGTATAGCCAAGTCGAAGCTCCTCGGTGGAAGCACATTACAGTCAGCCCTCAACATCTAGAGGAATTGGTCCCAGGACCCCCATGGACACCTCAACCATGGATGCGTAAACATTTTACATAAAATGATGTAGTATTTGCGTGCGTCCTGGGTACATCCTCCTCTATCTGAAGCATAACCAGAGAACTTCTGGTATGCACTTCATAGCATGTAAATGCTGTCTGATCAGTCGTGATGCTGTATTGAGGATTAATGTGTTCGGTACAGATGCAGTTTTTTTCCCCAAAATTTCCCACCCCCAGTTGTTTGTAGATGCAGATTCCTCTGATACAGAAGAGGACCACACAGGACTGAAAAGTCAGAAACAGTAGGCTTTCTGGACCGGCTGTCAGGAATATCAGAGCAAATGTGTCAGTACCCCTTTTGTCAGTGTAGAAGGGCTTAAAAGGTTTTGTGTGCTCTTTTAATTCATTAGTCCCGTTACTTGAGAGAACACTGTTGTCAGCACAGAGTTGGAGTCACAAAGAGATCGTCAGATGCAGTGTCCTCGGTGGAGTCAGTCTGAAAACTCACTCAGAAGGGGCAGTTGTGAAAGGGGAGAGTGGAAGGGAGCTCTGCTCAGCATGCTGAAGACCCTGGTTCAACTCGCAACACCACAAAAAAATAAAAATAGACTAACTGGCCTCCAAGGCAGACCTCCAAATAACCTTGGAGGAGAAATCCCGGCCCTTGAGAACTCGGGAGGAATGAATGCAGAATGGCCTTTGCAAAGTTTCCCACCATCCTGGAAATTCCATCAGAACTGGGGTAGTAGACGTGGTCACTCAACACCACAGGACTTGGGAATCAGGGCTCCTCCACAGATAGCAGACAGGAGGAGCCCAGGAAGACCGAGCGTCCCAGGAGGTCTCTGCCCTCCAGACACCCTGCCTGGCCCAGGCCCTGCTGCAGCTCCTGCTCCCACTTCCTGCTCCTCAAGGACCTGCTCCCATCCCCACCCCACGCTGCCACAGCTACAGGACTAATGTGGGCAGCAGGTTATAGTCACCTGAAAAACCTGAGCATCCAGACCTGAAGAGGACATGTAGGATCCTGCAAAGGCTGCCTTGAGCAAATGTGCAGGCCCCAGAAGCCTGCCCCGAGGTCCCTGTTCCCAGCTGCAGCAGGGTCCATGCTGTGAGTCACAGGGCCTGAAGCAGGGGCCAGAGGAACCCAGTGCAAGGGCCCATGTTAGGGGCTTTGCTAGAACACGAGTCTGACTGTTGAGTTTCTTTGCTCACGAGGTTGGCCAGCACTGCCCGAGTCAGCTTCTCACTGCAGGAAATAGCAAAAACCAACAACACCGAAAAAACCAAATGTGTGCTTTGCCTCCTTCAGCCAGCACAGGGTGGCAAGCGCCTTATGTCAGTGGCACTGCTTGGGGCGCTGTGCAGAGGCAAAAGTCAGTCAAATGCAGGTTCCAGTTTCAGCTTTCGGCAAGGACAAATGTGTAGCAGCAGCGCTTGGAGTGCGAGGAAGGCAGGGAAGCCCTGAGGTGGCCCAGGTTGGCCTCTGTCTGTGGGCTCTGCGTCTGCAGATGCAGGCGACTGTGGACGGCCAGAATATGAGCACAAAAATGCATCTATGCTTGGGCCGGGAACTTGGCAAGCGTGATGTCATGAGTTCAATCCCCTGTACCATCTGTGCTGAACATAAACAATGTTTTTCCCTGTCATTCCCCCCAAACAGAAATAAATAGAGCAACTATTTATTCTTCTAGAGAAAGCAGCCCTACATGCACCTCCCCTCTGAGGCCTGAGGATGGGGAGTTTGGGCTCCCCTGGGAATGGGGTGCTGGCATGATGAGAGAGAGCAGTGGGTCCCCAGGGCGGAGGAAGGCAGAGTGGCTTCATGCATCCAAAAACAGCGTGGAAAAGCAAGAGCCAAAACTGGAAACTCATCAGTTAGGTGCCCAGTGTCGGGAGCCTTAAATTAATCCTATAACTCACTATCCCTGATCATAAGTGTCTTGAAAGCGTGTTTTTAACTGAAAGAGACAATGACGGAGCAGATGGTGAAGCCACACTCCACCCGTGTTTGCAGCTGGGCTTTTCTTCCTCGCTTAGACCTATCCTTGGCGTGGCTAAGACGTGTCTGTGCCACGTGAGACGTCCCCAGTAATGGGATTTCCTTCCCTTTCAAGGCAGTGATGGCCAGTGACTTCGCGGTGCCCAAGTTCCGGTACCTGGAAAGACTCCTAATCGTCCACGGACACTGGTGCTACTCGCGACTGGCCAACATGGTGCTCTACTTCTTCTACAAGAACACCGTAAGTGTCAGAGCGGGGCTTGGGAGGCGTTTAATCCGGAGGTCTGGGGCTCTCAGGGCCACACCTCGGTCAGGCAGGGGGTCTTCAGCTCCTGTCCACTCTGTCCCCCTTCCTGTCACTTGGGCCTGGCTGTGCACCACACTGACTCAGAGAGTAGCTGCACCTCTGCCCCAGAAGGCCAGAGACGCACACAGGAACCACGCAAAAGCTCACATGACTTTCTAGCGAGGAGGAGGTTGACCCAGAAGCCACAGTTTGCAGTGCCACCCAGCTAGTAAGCTGGGCAGGCCACAGTCGCCGGTGGACATGCCCAAGCGCTCCACTGCTGTCCACGCGTTTCTCGGGAGCCTGCTGCTGGGGTGCCCACAGAGGAACCCCACCCTTTGAGTCATCAGCGGAGATCAAAGGACGAGCAGAAATGCAGTTGGTGGTCTAGGCATCAGGTTTCTTGGTCATGCTCAGATTGCAATACTGAAAGGTGCCCTACAGAGAAACAACCAACCCTGGGTCTGGCGGGCAAGTCCCCAGCCAGGGCAGTGGGCCAGGGGGCAGGAACAGTGACCCCTGCCCTCCTGGGCTGCAGGGCAGGTGCGCCCTCTGCTGGCCAGCCCCATGTGGCACTCATCTCCCCCACACCGGATTGATTGAGGACAGTTCTGCCAGGAGGAGCTAGTCTGGTTCAGGTGCTGTGAATACAGGACTTGCTTGCTCCCTTTCGCACGGGTCTTCATGTTTAACCTTAGTTCCCTGCTAAGTGAGCTTCTGCAATGCATCCTCTTTCACAGCCCTGTAGGATGGGCCCCAAGGCCATCCCAGAACCGTGCACACTTGGAAGAGATTTCTATATCCTCACTGAGCGCTCTCCAGGCTGTTGGTCATGGCCCAGCCTCTGATAGTGTGTGGCTCAGCGGACTAACAAGATATAAACAAGCTCTTGGATGAGTGACCTTCCAGCACAGTCCCCCAAATCAGCTCTGTAGGCCAGAACTCCAGCATCAGGGTTATCCGGTACCTTTCTGAAAAAAGATAAATTAAAAGGTCGGGTTTTCTTCCTAATTCCATATGAAAGTGTCTGTGCTGACCAGCCTGGCGTCAGTGCGCCTCTCGCTCATGTTCTTGATGGTTTGTGCTGGAGGGGACACGCTCCTTTCTGATCCTGTCTACTACCCACCCTCTTGCCTGATTTTCAAAACGTCTTCCAGCAAATGGACACGGATGCTCAGAACCCGTCAGGGTGTGTCTGCCTGGGTAGGTCTCACTGGGAATTAATTCAGACTAGCTTTTTCCTGGGACTGTATCCAAGGACGGCCACACTGTGCTGTCCTGCCCATGCTAGCTCGTCTTCCGTGCTTGCTACCCTATCATTGAGTCCCTAGCATGGCAAGGCCTCAGATACAGTTACCTAGAAGCCTCTGGCTTCCCAGGAGTGGAGGGATCCAGCCTCATATCTGTTCCTTATAAGCAGAGGGGTCTTAAGCAAGTTAAGGATCCTCCCTGATCTATGAAGAGGGCTTTGTCCTGATCAACCATCCCAAGCTGGAAAGACTGGAAGCTGAAACTCCGGCTCATGCAGGCAGCCTACCTGATACCCTCGCTCAGACCCCACATGCTGCAGCGCGTCTGCTGCTTCCCCTTGTGACCTCTGCTTGCCTAGGAACCTGAGTCCAATTCCCAGCCTTCGTGTGTGAGCACCGTGTGTGTGTGTGTGTGTGTGTGTGTGCATGCACACATATGCATGCACGTATGCGTGTGTGTGTTTTACTGAGGCTTAAATCCAGGGCTCCAGGGCTGCATGTATGCTGGGCAGGCTGTCTACCACTTCCTCCCAGCCCCACTGCACAGTTTCGAGAGAGGCTTTGGCCACATGTGTGTCACCTACGCAAAGATCCACGTTCAAAGTAAAATTTCCCCGGAAGGTGTATTGCTTTGTAAAGTGGAAAACTCCTTGTTGAATATTGTGAGTTGGCCATCCACATATGTTTGCCTCCTTTGGATTTTTTTTAATATGAAAAACAAAAACCAAACCTAGGGGTTGAGCTGGCTGATTTCTGAAATTCCCAATTAAAATTTCTCAGCTCTGCTGGAGGGCAAAAACAAGGCCGATCACTCCATTCAATGTCTTGAGTCTGAGCAAAATCCAGAGCGGCCGTCAGGGATGGGCACAACTGCCCGCCCACCACGACGAGCCCGTCCTTGTGGAGGGCACAGGAAGGGAAGGGACACCTGTGTTTATTCCGTGTGAGATGCAGGGCCTTTGTTACAAGCATCCATCTGCGCGAGGAGTTCAAGGACAATCACACTGCCTCCTAACACAAGAGCTTCATTAGTGTTAAGAATAAGTCGGCCTTCCTTGCCAATACAGAGCAGAGAAGAAAGGTTTCCATAGCAACCGTGGTTTGGGAACAAAGCTCTTTGGTACCACAGGAAAGAGAATCTCAATTATCCGAGTGCTTCTCTTCCTCTTTGCCTTGACTCCATTTGCTCACAGATGATTCATTAGGTTGAGCCTGTGGGAGAGAAAGGCAGGCGTGGGAGGAAGAAAAGAAGAAAGTCAATGAAAACTCCGAGCCTGTGGGCTGAGGGTGTGAAGGGGGAGGTGAGGAGATGGAGAGCACAGATTGAAACAAGGCTTGGAGGCTGTGTGTCATCATGGGTCCATCAGAACAAGCGTTTGCTTCCAGTCTTCACGACAAACAAACCCCAGGTCAAGAATCCAAAGCTTGGGGAGGTTGAGGAGCTGAATCACAGTCAACAGCGTTAGATAATCGCAGCTCCAAAACCAGAGCCCAGGCTGGCAGTGCCCAGGAGAGGATGTGCGTCCGTGGCACCATGTTCCCCATCGTACCCTCCCCATCCTGGTCTGAAGCCTGTCTGTGGCTGCACGAGTCACATCTTGGCACCTCAGTCTCTTTGAAATGGTACACATAGAGGCTGTGCTTGAGCTCACAGAGGAAAGTGGGGTCTGCAAGCTGCCAGCAGTGTCGGCAGGGAGCACCTGGCCATGCCAGGTCCTGTCAGCCTCACAGCAGTGCCTGTGTCGTGGACAAGGAACCTCAGGCAGCCAGGGCTGAACGTTCTGCTCCCTGGAGCCCAGTTTGGGGTGCTCTCCCTGTTAGCTTTGAATCACTCTAACAAAACCCCTGAGATGAGCAGCTTGAAGGAGTAAGGCTGATTGGGATCACAGTTTCAGAAGCCTCAGTCCATGGCAGCTCGGTCCTGTGGCCTTGGGTCCTGGGGCCTTGGGTCCTGTGGCCTTGGGTCCTGGGGCCTTGGGTCCTGTGGCCTTGGGTCCTGGGGCCTTGGGTCCTGTGGCCTTGGGTCCTGTGGTCTTCGGTCCTAGGCTTTCGGTCCTATGAGGTAGCACACAGTGGCCAGGGCACATGGCAGAAGCAGCTGCTCACTTCATGGCTGCCAGGAAGAAGAGAGAGAGAGAGACAGAAGGGGACCAATACCCTCTTCAAGGCACAGCTGAGATGACCTGATTCCTTCCACAAGTCCCCACCACCTGTAGCATCACAGGCTGGGAAGCAAGCATTCAACACAGGCCATCAAGAGGACATTTGAGATACACGTTATTACATTCATGGCTGCTAAACTTCCATGCGCCCGTAGATGGTGCTGAGGAAATCCACAGCTCTTGGTGGTTTCGGAATCCTGGGGAAGGAGCACCCCTGGCTCCCGCTCCTACCGGGTGTCAGGAGACAGTTCAGCCTCCCTTCTCCTCCTCAGCAAAGCAAGGTCCCTGTAAGGAGGGAACATAGTGCCTGTGGCCACCTGCTGGCATCCAGCCAGTGTGCTGCAGTGGCCAGTGGGTCAGTGTTGGTGGCATCACTGCCTTGCTGATGTTCTTCTGTGTGTCCTCCATGCCATGGAAGTCCACAACCGTCTGCTGCTCTTCACTGAAAAGGGGGTCAAGGAGGTATCCCTAGGAAGTTTTTGTGGGGGACACAAAAGGCACAGTGGTCCTAGAGGAAAGCCACAGCTGTGTTCTACCCCGTCAAACCTTTTGTCTTTTGTGTTACACTGATGATCTACAGCTCTTCTGGCATAAAAACCTCGTCTGTCGGCAGGCTGCTCCTGGAGCTACAAGCTCCCGCTGCCCATCCCTTGGGCTTAGGAGACCGGGGAGAGCTGGGGAGAGTAGAGAGGGAGAGGCAGAGGCCAACAGCAGGACCGCGATCGGAGAGGGCATCGCTGCTTGCTGATTTTATCTTGCCAGGAAAGCTGCAAGGCTCTCAGATCCCTCGGACAGAGATCTGTGAGGGTAGTAAAGAATGTCCCGGTCTCGGTCTGTCTTTCTCGGTCACAGATGTTCGTGGGCCTCCTGTTCTGGTTCCAGTTTTACTGTGGCTTCTCGGCGTCTGCCATGATCGATCAGTGGTACCTGATCTTCTTCAACCTGCTCTTCTCGTCGCTTCCTCAACTCGTGACCGGGGTGCTGGACAAGGACGTGTCGGCGGACACACTGCTGCTGGAGCCGCAGCTCTACAAGAGTGGCCAGAAAATGGAGGTAGGCTCGCAGCGCCTGCCCCTGCCGCCCGTTTCCTGCCCTCTGTCTCCAAGTCGCCTTTAACAGGCACCCTGGATGCACTGTCCAAATTCTAGACTCTGACCTGGGGTGAGAAAAATGAACACTATCTGCTGGGCTGCGGAGCGCTGGGTTCCCCCAGGGTTGCTATAGCGATGTCACTGGGAAGGTTGACTTGTTAGAGAGGAAGTTTATTTAAATAGCTCGTGGTTCTCAAAGGGCAGAAGCATTGCTCAGCCCTGTGGTGGATGGCAGGGCCAGAGAACTAACTGCTCACCTCGGCAGCCAGGAGGCCAAGAGCAAGTGACTCGGTCCCACCTTTCCTGCAAAGGCACACCCCAGGGTCCAGAGACCTCCCCATGGACCCATCCGGAAGGCTCTACCACCTCCAGTGGTGCCACCCTGGGGACTCAGCCTTTCACACACATGCAGACCTTTGGGGAATCCAACCACAGCACACAGGCAATGTACAAAAACCTTCTCCACCCAGGCACCTCCACTGCCCACGGAGAGCGCTTCCCAAATCTGAGTCAGTCACAGGTGACAGCTCCAGCTCAGTAGGGATCCTCTAAAGCAAACCAAAAGGAGTTACTTCTTTTCAATGGGAATTGAAAGAAGACTGACCCATAGGGAAAACCAGCCAACCACTGAAAGGCCAGACAGGTAAACCCCACAGCAGACCCACTAGTGACCGCTGCTTCTAACCGGCCATTCAGACAGAGCGTCTGCATACTACTATTCGGCAAGTCTGAATTCTGAGCTTACAGGAGCACTGCGGCACCCTCCTCCTCCTCCAGCCATTTCCACCTCAAAGGCTGTGCCCTTGCATGTTAATGTCTCTTGGCCGCTTTAGTAAGCATTTGGTCCTCACTGGAGCAGGCTGCTGGGACGAGGCAGGTGCTGCTTGACATCTGTCATCTAGGGAAGTCCCATCCTCCATCACCTCAGCCAGCCAAACACCCCACACGTGCAGAGTGAGGTGACCAGCAGGAGGAGAGAGCCAGCACTTTCCTGAAATGCTAGCAGGTGCTTCTCTGTGCCCTCTGCACGTCCTGCAGGATGAAGTCCCTGTCAGCTAGCTGGATGTAGCAGGGTTAAACACAAATGTGGTTACCAGGTAACGAAACCTCAGTTTACCTATGTCCAGGTTATTTTTGCTCTGAGTATACAGTCGTCTTAGTCTGCTTGGCACCACTGTAACGAAAGACCTGAAGCAGACTACTTAATAACAGGAATTTTCCGGTCCTGGTTATGGAGATGGGAGGTTGCAGAACGGCATCTGGTGACAGCTTTGTGGTTGAAGAATCTGGAAGCAGAGCAGAGCATCTTTGGCATGAGGCAGGAAGCTGCGCGGGGCTGTCTCCTCTGGCCTCTCCCCCTTACGCTGCTGCAAATACTCAATGCTGGTGGCTCCACCCTGATGGTTTTAGCCCTTAGCTGCATAGTCTGATCAAGTTTCCACCCCCTTAGTGGTTCCCAGTGGGGACTGAATTTCAGTCTGTGAACCCAGGCCACAGTCAAACCACATCCACATCATAGCAGCCGTTTTTTGCCTTTAACATAGGGCACATCTGTCACCGAATTTAAAACCGTAAGAATCCTTCTAAGGGACTCACCACGACCCCTGGCAAAGCAGAACGTGGAAAGAATAGAAAGTCTCAGGGCAGGGGAGGACTCCAGGCTTCAGGTGCTCTCCCCACCTGAAGGGGAGATGCGCCCATGGAAGATTTAGAAAGTGCTCCCCTCTTACCGTTGGGCTGTACTTACCAAGGCTTGTTTTGGGGGTGCAGAGGCTCCAGCTCAGCTGGAAACAGATCCACAGGCATTGGTTTCTCGTCTGGCCCCGGGGCCTTGTCCGACCCAGGGCCCTAAGTAGCAGGTTTTCCTCTGGCACCCTGACTTGTGTGTCCAGGGCCACAGCATCCCAGAAAACACCGTCTGAGGAGAGAGAGGGTCGCTTCCCTGTAATCTCCCGTCCTGCTTTCCTGTCCCAGGAGTATCGGCCGCGGGCCTTCTGGTTAAACATGGTTGATGCCGCCTTCCAGAGCTTGGTCTGCTTCTTCATCCCTTATATGGTAAGTGGGCACACCGAGTGGTCTTCCCATTCGTGCATCCTGGAGCCCGTAGACACAGGACGCTGCTGTCTTTCAGGCCTACTATGACTCGGACGTGGACATGTTCACCTGGGGCACCCCCATCACGGCCATCGCGCTGCTCACCTTCCTCCTGCACCTGGGTATTGAAACCAAAACCTGGGTATGAGCTGCCGGCAAGGTCACATCCCAGAGGGCCCAACGCCGCGGGGCCCACCCTTCCTGGCAGGCTCCGGGAGGTCTCGTTTCTTTGAGCAGAACCCCAAAATGCTGGCCTCCCTGTGGCAGCAATGAAGGCAACCCTGGCTGGAGCCCCTCAGCAGGGGCAGCTGCCACGGCCTCCCTCACCCCCCACCTCCCTGGAGCAGCTCTCGGCCCCTCCTCCCTCTCCAGTCCACACCCCTGCCCAGCACTCTCTCCGCGGGCCCCTATCCTGCTCTCACATCCCTGCCCCAGTTGGTTCCTGAGGCTTCGCCAAGCCCCACCAGCCACAAAGACCCCAGTTTCTGCTGAGCCCTCAGTTCCCGCCCACTCAGTGACTGATGCCTTTTCCTCTCCATGGCCACTTTTATGTTGAAATGAAAGCTCTGTCTCTGCTTCCCCTGCAGACCTGGCTCAACTGGGTAGCATGTGGCTTCAGCATCCTTTTGTTCTTGACGGTGGCTTTGATCTACAATTCTGCCTGTGCAACCTGCTATCCTCCATCTAACCCATACTGGACCATGCAGACATTACTGGGAGACCCCGTGTTTTACCTGATCTGCCTCATAACGCCTGTCACTGCACTGCTGCCCAGGTGGGTGTCAGAGACAGCATCCCCGAGTCCTGGGTGAGCACTGCTGTGGCTTTGCCCTGTGGAGCTACCGGGAGCCCCTCCTGCAGCAGCAGACTCTGACTTCTCCTGTGCTCTTTCCAGATTGTTCTTCAGAGCCCTCCAGGGGAGCCTGTTCCCCACCCAGCTGCAGCTGGGACGCCAGCTGGCCAAGAAATGTCGCAAGACACTCCAGACTCCCAAAGAGCGCTTTGCTCAGGGACACCTCCCCCAAGAGCTGAAGGCCGAGCTTTCCCAAGGGGGCACTGGGAGCCCCTCTGAGTCCCTCTCCAAGGACTGTGCCTTGCAAACTTCCCAGCACCTGCAGCAGCCGCCAGTCTGCTCCCCTGAGGCCAGCGGGGAGCCCAGCACTGTGGACACAAGCGTGCCGCTCCGAGAGAACAGCCCAAGGGGGTCCCCGGGGTCCTCCATACCAGGGGCGGCCGTATCTGGAGAGTGTCCTGGGCATCTGCGGAGGAAGTCGCTCAGCACGAGCCGGGCAGCCCCCCTGCAGTCCCTCTTCAGCTTGCCCAACTTCAGCTCGCTTGGCTGTGTGTCCTCCCTGTCGCTGGTCAGCGGGCTGGGCAGTGTCCTTCGGTTCTCCAGTAGTAGTTTACATGTGGACAAACGGGACAGTGAGTTCCTGTCCAGCTCCCCACAGCCAGAGCAGGACCTGTCTGGCTTACAGAGGCAGGCTACAGGCTACGTCTAGGTCACCCGAAGGGACGCCGAGGCCTGTGGCCTGTGTGGACCCGGAAACGTCCTTTGCTATATATATAACATAGGTGTTAATATTATTTATGTTTATTATTGCACAGAAGAGTTCTAGGGAGATATATTTTTAAATGTTTCCAGGCTAACACAGGAAATGAAAGGTACCCCCTAAAAATTTTATTTTTTAAAGTTCTAAGTATATTGATAAAGACAAATGAGAGCTTTAACCCATATCTGTGTATGTATGTGTAAAGTTTAAGGAAGCGTGACCCTTGAACAGTGTGTTCAAATTTATTTTTTCATCTCATTTTGTAAGAAAAGGCAATAGGGCTTCTTTCTTCATCCTGCATGACCTTTGCTCTCTTCAAGTAGAGATGCCCGAGTAAGCGCAGGAAACCCTGGTGGGGGAGCAGGGGAGGGGCGCGGGCAAGCCCCCAAGGCAGAGCCTCCCCCAACGTGGGCTGGGGCTGTTGTTGACTGACTGCTGTCCACCCACAAGGGGAAGTGGAACCTCAAGAGAAACCGATGCGTTGTTTATTCCAGCCTCGGTTCCATGCGGCCTTTATTTCAGACAGCTCCCTTGTAGTGTGAGGCCCCGGCATGGTGTTTTGCCTGTTAAAATCATCACAAGCAATAAACCACCTTCACTGTGTAAAAAATGTGTGTGTCTGCCGCTGTCGTGCAGCGTCGCTAGCGTGTGACCCCGCAGTGTTCTGGAGACCTCGGCACTGCCTCTCACACTGGAGGGAGCAGCTGGGTGACCCGCAAGCCAGCACTGCCTGGCCCCTCACATCATGGCTCCTTGCCCGGGGCACCCACCAGACGCTGCCCCCAAGAGACCAGGTGTGAGGAGCCTTCGCCAGGCATTTCTGTGCCTCCAACAACAGAAAAGGAAAGGGACCCTCTTTCCAGCCCTGCCCCACCCCATGCTGTCACGTTGGTGGGAGTGTACTCATCAGTGTGGAGATGCCTCCAAAGCTAGATTAGAGGTCCCATTCCACCCAGCTATTCCCCTTCTGGGCATTTTCCCAGGAGAATTGAAAACACCATACCATAGAGGTATATGTGCACCCACGTTTATAGCAGCACAATTTACAATAACAAAATCTCAGAAAGCACCCAAATGCCCATAATGGATAAAGATGAGGTCTTTTTCTACAATGGAGTACTAAGCTATAAAAAAAAGGGGTAAGCTGGAGGCTTTGTAGGTAAATGGATGCAACTTGAGACCATACTCAGCGAAATAAATCAGACTCACATGTAAACGTCGTATGGTCTCTCTAGGGTAAAGAGTAAACAAGATCCAAAATGTGCAATAGATAGTGTGAAAATGAAAAGAATCTGCTTAACAGGAAAGAACTGGGATTGGAGAAAGGACAAAAGAAAGAAGGGGAAAGATATATATATATGATATGTATGATACATAGTTATACTGCTAATCTCCAAAAACCAGTTTGTGCTTTCATTTTGATCATTTTCATGCCTGTGTCTTGCCATCTGAGCAACTACTTTGAAGACAATAGTGTGCGGTGTTAACCGTTGTTACCCTCCCATTATTTTGTTTTGAAATCCCATATCATAATTTTTGTTCTTTTTTCATTTCTAAAATAAATAATAGCCCATCTTCACATCTGCTACTCTAACAGCACAGGACAGACTGAGACAGGGCTCCCTGGTCCCCTTCCACAGCCAGCTCTGTCCGTGTGACACCCTGCATGCATAGTGTCACTCCAGGCAGCACCATTACCCATGTGGCTTGTCCAGGGCAAGGGCGCCTCTGTCCACACTGCCAGCGGGGTCATCCATCCTTCAGCCCCTCCAGACCCCTGACCGGAGAACTGAGGCCAGGCAGGTGACCTGCTGGCGAAGTGTTCCTCTTCCCCAAGGGAGCTGGCCGCAGGAGGGGACCCTCGGAGGAACAGATGCGGGCCCACCGTCAGCTGGGGGAGGCAGAAGAGGGTGAAGGCAGCCTCTGCGTCCACAGTGTGGGACCAAAGGTGACCACGCTCACCGTCTACTCCCCAGCCAAAGCCACCTGGTCTGCTCAGCTCAGAATCGCAAGCGGTGCCTGAATCACTCCAGTGACAGTCATAAGTGCAGGGCCAGAATCCCACCGCCCTGCACATCTGAGACTTCAGAACGCCTGGTTCCCACGAGTCCTGCCATCAGCGGCCTCTGCTCAGCAAGGGGAGGCCAGGTGGTAACTTCAGGAACATGCAGGCTTAGGCCCATTTAGACGGCCTCAGGAGTTAGAGACCACATAGGATGAGGAGCATTCAGAACAATGTACAGTAGCCACATCCCTGCCCACACCTCTAATCCCCGCACTCTGAGGCAGGAGGAGGCTAATGGGAGAACAACCTGGGCAACTCAGTGACTTAGCCAGATCGCATCTCAAAATAAAAAATAGAGGGCTGGGGATGCAGCTCAGGGCAAAGGCCCTAGATCCAATTCCTAGTAATGCAAAAGGAAAGAAAGTTCACAACAGTAGTCCTTCACAGCCAACTCACTTTGCAGTGAAAGAGGACACAGAATGTCTCTTTAGAGTATGTGTTTGCAGCCCACGGTTACCACGTGCTTCCTGGGGAATGGACGAGCTAATTGCATCTTGATCATTTTTACTCCCGCCCTCTCCCAGGGATCCTTCTCCCTCCGTCCCTAGATCTACCTCCCTGTTTCCTGCTCTTTTATTTCCCCCTTTAAATTATGTTTATTGTGAGAATCTCGAAGAAGCCTTCTGTGTCTGATTTATTTCACTTAGCATTGTGTTCTCCATTTTCTACCAGTGACTCAAATGCATGCTTCTTCATGGCTGAGTCGTACCCCACTGTGTGTGTATTCCACTCTTCCTTCATCCATTCATCTGTGGACGGACACACGGAGGGAATTTCATGATTATCTTATGAAAGCATTGAGTAAAAGATGTCATCAAATCCTAGTAGCAAATAGAAAGCTGACTACTAAAAACAGCTCTGCTTTTGGCAACAAAATAGCTGGGCTAGTTATTTGACATTTTACGGCGTGCCTAGTTCAAAGTCAGACCTGTTAATTTAAACTCTTGAGGGTCAGATCCTTTTTCTTTTTTGGACTTGGATCCCCAGCACTTGGACAGAATCTAGCAACTTAACGTGCTTAGTAAATGTTGAATGAATCCACACATAAATGGCAGTGGTGAAATGCTGAAGCATTCCTGTTAAAAACCAGGCATTTAAAAAATGACTTCTTGTAACTCATTATTATTTAGTATTTCTAGCATATCTGGATAGTGCAATAAGCCATGAATTTTTAAAAAGAATTATTGGAATGTTGAAGACCAAATTATCATTACTTACACATGATATGATTATACACCTGAAAAATCTAAATGACTAAATTAAAAGGCTCTCAAAACTAATAAAAGGAGGAAATAAGTTGACTCTGTACAAAGAAAACAAACCACAGCTTCTACATAGAACAGAAATAACCAGGAAGGCAGACTGATGGAGACAGGGGAAGATCTTGTTGGTTGATACAACATCACTAACAAATATTAAATTGCTAAGAATCATTTTGATAAATATAAAGACAGCTTGTCAGAATTTAAGACGACATTAATCAACATCCTAAATACAAAAATATGCCTCAGAAAATATTATACAACTGCTGCTTTTCACTGTTTCTGTAGCTTTTTATCTTTTTCATGTTTTTCTTCTTTCTTTGTTTAGGTGTTTGTGAGATTAACAAAATGGTTCTGGAGTTTATCTGGAAGGATGCAATATGATGCAAAAAGCATCAAAGAAAGTTCCAATAAATAAAAGTCATGAAGGAAACACGCCATTTTATAGAATGAAGGGTTGTCTGATACTAGAATGAAAAGAAAATCAATTAAGATCACTTTTAAAAAGAAAAATGAGAAGTCCAGTGGTATTTTATAAAGTACTAGTACTCGAGGTATAATTGAAGAAAAGATGCAGACAGAAGAGATTTGATGTATCATTACATGTAAGAATTTGGTTTATGCTTTAAAAAAGGTTGGGAACCGATGGGGAATATTTACTAAATCATGTCGCTAACCACTAAGTGACTTCAGGTGAAGAGCCACAGTGTGATGCCAGCTTGAAGCAAGCATCTGACTTCCACAGGTGGTCTGGGGGCCCTTGATTGCCTTTGGCCTTAGGGACCTCACTCCAGTCTCCCCTGCCCCCCCGAACCCCGCCCTGCCTCAGCCTCCCTCACATCTCATCAGCCCATTCGGAGGTCGCTGCCCTGCTCTGGAGCACCCCTCTGAGCCCGCTAAGACACTGGCCTAAAACCCCTCCAGCTCCACACGATGGCAAGGAATGAAGGGACTGGGCTGTCATCCTGCCCAGGCCCTGGGTCCCCACCAGGCAGTCCCAGGCAGAGGTTTTGGTGAGGAAAACTTCACAGGAAGTTTATCTGCTTCCTGCAGATAAATGACAGAAAAACCTCCAAAGAGGAGAACCATTTTCACTAACACTATTTCAGTATGTGCATAGTATTTGATAATCAAAACTGGAAGACTGAACCCACTGTGAAGAGTTGTAATACACGTGGGAAGAGTTCGTGATGCGCGTGGCTGCTGTGAATCAGTACCACAAAGATCAAGCTATTATTGGGCCCCAGACCAATACACTGGGCACTGATTCTGAGTGAGACCAGGCCTTCTCCAAAGAAACCTGGAAGCATGGAGCAAAATGCTGTCAGTATGCTCATTTTCTTGGACCCTAATTCCATTTTGGAGACCAAACCTGAAGAAAATAATCTATTAGGTACATTTAAGATTCCTACCTCTTCTTCTTTTTAACTAGGAATTGAACTCAGGACGTTGTAATTGTCAGACACTTACACTACTGACCTATATCCACAGCAAGATTTCTTTATCTTATATTTTTAAAATTTCATTTAAAGAGTATAAATCCAAGATAATCAGACAGAATAAAACCAATCAAAACAAACCAATGTAAGTGATACAGGACTTCAAAACATTATGAAGTCAACATGGTTATCATAATGCCTTTGATAGTCTTCAAATTAGCTGCAGATACATTTGGACATAGTAAAATCAAACAGAATTGAATAGAATGAATAAAAACAAAACAATGAATTCAATAGGGTACTTCAAAACAAGACAATAGCAAATCCAGAATTGCTACCATAATATATCTTGCTATCTTTGAAATAGATGCTCCTGCCATCGGATACAACAAAATCAAGCAAAGCAAAAGAATAAAACCCAATGCAACAAAACAATGAAAACAATACAGGACTTCAAGATAAGACCTTAGGAAATCAACCATGGCTGCAGCCCTCAGAAGGAAATCCCCCCAGATGCCACACTGCACGTACCGCTATCCTCTGAACCTGTGATCAGACCACTGACCCCAGACCTGCAAGGTCAGGGAAACAACACAGCACCACAGACGTCAAATCCACTTAATCGCTATCATCACAGCTGTGGTTCTCCAGATCAGCTGGTCACTTAGGGGTGGGGGAAATTTGTACTTCCTGTGTGCCAGCCCACGCCCTGGAAGGGGTGAGGTCTAGCTGTTCCCACACCAGGGATGGTCCACGTGTAGTGCTGGTTTCTTTATCTTATATTTAGTGACAAAAATTCGGGAATGACTTGAGTGAATGTCAGTAATGTCATGACTAAGTAATT